AAGTCAACTTGATAAGAACTGTTGAATGATAATAAGATAAATGATATGATGCTGGGCATGAATATTACCATGGCTATTTGTGAAAATTTGGTACACCAGGACAGTGCAGGTATCAATTCTTGACAGCATTAATGCTCAGCGTTCAGCACTCAGCACTCAGCGGGTGTGGAGGGAGGGCAAACATATGAGAATGAACGAGAGAAACAAAAACACTGGACATATGGTGCTGGTTCCTTCTGAGCACTGGGAACTGGTATCTTTCTTATTCCAACAAAAGATCATGTGATATTTGCTATAGTAAGCTGAGCAATGACACATGTAAATAAAGTGATCAAGTAAGCTATGTCATCAGGAATTCGGGCTGGACATGATTTTTATAGATATTTCTAATAAGATCAAATCAAATCTACACAAATTATATAGAAAGGCAAAGTAATGCATGCACGTTAGCATGATGGTATCAATTGACAGAAAATTGCAAAAAAGGCATAATTTTGACGAAAAAATATATGTCTCACAACTGTGATACCTCATAGATAAACTATTGAAGGAAGTATGGTGTCTCTCCAATATAGTGGTCACCTTTTGTCTGAGCTTGCCTGCATGATGAATAACTACAATGCCAAGGAATTACAAATCATGGTTTACAGGAAGTTGTAAGAAAATCGTAATTCTGATGAAGATATATATGTCTCACGACTGTGATACCTCAGAATAAACCATTGAAGGAGGTATGGCATCTCTCCAGTATAATGATCATCCTTTGTCTGAGCTTGCCTGCATGATGAATACTTGCAGTGCTAAGGAGTCACAAGTCATGGTTTACAAAATTTCCTCATATTTATACAGTAAAGGTCATTGCCAATTGTCATGACCCATGCAGGAAGTACCTCAACAAAAGTTATAACACTCTCAAAATATTTACAGTGTGTGGTCATTAATAACTTGTACAACTTTCATATAATCGAGCCATTGAATGAATACATATGAAAAAGAAAGTATGGGACATAAATTCAATATGAATTCATTAAGGGCGACTTACCTGCCATACTACTGCAGATAGTAAATCAATCGTTCTGTATCGTGTATGTCCAACCGAATCTTGATGAGATTCACTGGTCACATCGGTAAGGAACTGGAGCTTTTGGCAGACGGTTGAGTCGTATCCGGTGTGTACTCACATTCCATGTGGCCACCACTTCAAGTTCACACACAAGCTCAAACAGTGTCACGTGGAAGCTGAGGCGTTCATGTATATTGGACCAATATCGGACTCCATAGTAGTGTTTATATAGAGCACAAGGGTATTGAACCCCATCATCGAATCAGTCCAGGCCCAAAGCTGGCCATCGTCAATGGAATCACAAGCCCTCCCCCAACAATGAGGATCAGCCTGCATCCTATCCTTGCAGACAAGGGAAGGCCAAATTCAACGGTGAAGATCCCTGCTAGAACTCCAATGATGGCAAATGCCAAACTATAGTGCACCTGTCAGTAATGACTCATCATGATGAATACCTTATTTCACCTCATCAGGAATGTGAACATCGGTATCTCGCAAGGATCGCAAAAGTGCCCATCTCCTCTTGTAAGTAATATGCCTATCCAATCGATATTGTCAGACCAGGCTGCAAATGAAAAAAAAGATGATCGCACTGAAAAGACAAGGTATCTCAATCTTTGAACCAATTGTTGTGCAATCGTGCACCCGATGATGCAGTAGACACAGAGAACGAAGGAGATGGAACACAATGCCTTCGTAGCCAGTTGTGTACCTAGACCTGGAACTGCAAGGATGCTGGCATTGACCACCATAATGTCACTTGCCTGTCAGACGAATAGTAAGTGTTCTCAATTAGGCCACAATGTAGCACTCACCATGGTAGTTTGAGCTTTGGCCTGGGCGCTGAAATCATCAGTAAATCTCCTGATGTCCACCCCATTTACGAGGCCATCGACATAAACATGTTTAAGATGATCTAGCATTAGGAATGGAATCCAAAACATGGCGACTGCAGTGCCAGTCAGGAAGGGAGACTTTTTGAGGGGTCCACACTTCCCGGTCACCGAATGCATTCGCATCAAGCACGCTTCGGGTTGGCCATGGTGATTTAGGTATTCATGATGGCCTTTGAATATTCAATCAGGATATGTCTGGTATGAAAAATAGTATCGTATAGAGAATATATGCTAATCTGCCTGTTCAAGATAAATTTATAGTTCCAGTCTTTCCAAGGCTCATGTACCATAGATGATGGTACATGTTCCATCCATAGCTCCATCATGTCTTGCAAAGTCCTCTGTTTTGGTCATCAACTTGAAGATGTAGCTTGAGATCAGTGTGCATGCCTACAGCGGCCAGCTCAGCAGCCATTTCCTTCATTTTGTCGGGTTTCCAAAATATTGAAGCCGCCGTTGAGTGTTCCGTGGTGGATGCTTCTATTTATTCCCCAGGTTTGTCTTGGTCAGGTGCTATAATGCTGAAGAACTCACCCACGCGATACCAATTCAACTTATATTCAGATGCGCAAAGTTCTGATGTCCTGGAGAGGTATGTCGATCCCATGGGGAAAGTACTCAATGTGTTTCCTGGTGCAATTAAAAACATTTGCTTCCATCAGAATGGTGATCTTTAGCTCACCAGTATTGAGCCTCCAGTTCGAGTCCTGTCCAAAACAAGTTCAATAACAAAAACCACCAAAAAAATTGACATACTTTTATGGTTCCAGTGCCGCGCTGTCATACATTCCTGGAAAAGAATATAGCCATCCACCTGTTCTAGCCAGGCAATGATCCTTCTCTCCGGAACCACGTAGTAGTATGTATAGATGTCTATTCCTCTCATTCGGAGTGGCTCGACTACTAGCAACCATTTCCTGCCATTTAGTTTGGATCTTGATGCCTTGATCCACGACTCGAGCCTCTGGAGCTGTGCATCTGAAAATTCTGTCATATTAATTTCCGCGTATGTTTCCTTTATTCTCATCAAAATATATGTATAACTCGGAATACCAGCTGCACTCACCATTTTCGCATTATAGTGGTATATAGCTCCTGATGGATGGTCCAACTCTTCCCAATCACCGTGCGTTTGAGACCTGTCAAGATAGCGGTTAAGTTGATATTGTGCTAAATGGAAGTCACGAACTGAGCCCAATCAGTCTGCATGGCCTCGATGTTATAGTCGTGATGTGGAATGACGTCCCTATCAAACAAAGCCCGAGTCAGTACCCGATGAATTTATCCTAGTAATGATATACACTCACGGCATTGTTATCTGCGTGTATTGCCGGAGTTGCATGGGCCAGACAGGGACACTATGCTCCTGCAACTGTATCTGTTGGTTGATTGTGGGGGATTGCATGAGGTACAAGTCTTCAAGCTTCAAAGCTGAACGTACTGTCGTGTCCATGGTTCAACTTGTCAATGTTGTTCACACAATGTGATTTTGTATTTTTAAATTCACACCATTTTATCGTAATAGCCCCGCTAGGAACACACTGCAATGCTGATTTGACTAATTTAGTCACGATAACAATATATAACACTAGTACAAGATAACACTGTAGAACAAGCGCAGATGCGTCACCAGAAGGAAAATTAGATGAGCATTGTACTAATACTAGTGGTTGCTGGATATCAGATGTGTTCTATGTTTAGCACAGAAGTAGTACCGGGTATGAAGCTGTAAAGCAATGGAAATGGTAGTTCTAGTTGTAGCTCATCAATGATATATAGTACATGTGTGATGATTGGCGAAGATGGTACAGATTGGCCCAGTCAGTCCGCCAGTGAAGATGGTAGTAGTAGTACAGATGGGCCAGAGTCCGTGAGTCCGTCAGTGACGACGGGCAAAGCTTTGAAGATCTGATTGGCATAGCTAAAAAAAGTTGCTGGATGCTCGACGTTTTGAATGAAGACATACACTTACCTGAAGTGTTGACTTCACTTTATTTGCCGCAGCACGGAGCTTTTCAACTACCGTGGCCTGATGCAGATGACGGCAGGATGGCCACGTAATGACCGATTTGGTAAACTGCTGCATAATTTGAGTAAGCTGCCGGAAGCATTACGCTACGTGGTCTTACCAAATTTAACCACTTATCTACTTCCGTCTGGATAGTATCTGTTACTTACTTGGAGGCAGTCATACAATTTTACGTTACTTACCACTACTTTTCCATCTTTTATCAAAGGTGAAGAGACTCGGACTAGAGAAACTAAGGGCGAGAACAGAACTCAGTCTTGGTTCAAAAAGACTCAAGGGTAACTATGGACCATACCTAAGGGCGAGAACAGAACTAGTAGAGTAGTAGTTAGTAAGAGTAGAGTAGGGATGTCAATAAGATAGCTCACCTCAGTCTTGGTTCAAAAAGACTGAGGGAGATTGTTCGACGAGAGGAGGAATTAATACGTTTGATTGGGACGGAGAGTCAATAGGAAACGTGTATGACGCATGGTAGGAGGAGTGTTCGTGTATGTAAAATGAAAAGGCTAAGTACGTGTAAGGGTCATATCTTGATACTCCCACTCGAACGCAAAACGCTAGAGACGCGGGCGTGCTCATTCAACTGGGTCTTCGTTTGACGATGAACGAAGAGCAAGCGAGTGTCGATGGTTGCGGAAAAGTTTTCGTGGTAGGGATTTCGTGAAGATGTCGGCAATCATATCATGTGTGGGTACATAGGGAATGATGATGGTGCCGTCGCTGACCAGATCTCGAACGAAGTGATAGCGGACGCGAATGTGCTTGGCCCGGTCGTGGAATTGAGGGTTTTTCGTTAGTGCGCGACTTCCATTGTTATCACCATATAACGTGGTGGGGGTGATCAGCGAGAGGTCAAGACCAAAATCGCATAGCAGCTGGCTGAGATGGATCTGTTCGCGGGCCGCGTTAGAGAGTGAGATGTATTCAGCTTCAGTAGACGAAGTCGCAACGACGGATTGCTTTTGGGAACGCCAACTGATGGGGGAACCGAAAAGAAAGTAGACATAGCCCCCAATTGAGCGACTGTCGTCTTTATCAGACGCGAAGTCAGAATCCGAATAACCGATGAGTCCTTGGTTGGACAAACCAAACGTTAGGGAATGATGTGTGGATCCACGAAGGTAACGAAGGAGATGGTGAAGCTGGCGGTAGTGGTCTATGCCAGGGTTACTCAGATATTTTGACAGCGCCGATACTGCATATGCAATATCGGGACGACTAACGCGCATGGCGAAGTTGAGTTCCCCAACGACACGCGCGTATGGCATGTGCGCAAATTGTTGGATTTCGGCTTGAGTGAGGGGTGCAGATGACTTCGTCAAGGAGATCCCTGGAACCATGGGGGTAGATACTGGTCGACAATCTGACATCCGAGTTTCACTGAGAATCTGTTCGAGAAAGGAGGATTGGTTGACGGTAAGGTGCTTCTTAGAGCGATCTCGTGTAATGTGCATTCCTAAGAAATGACGCGCTTCACCAAGGTCCTTCATTTCAAAACGTTTGCTCATCTCCGATTTGAAACCGTTAAGGAAATCCCGACAGTTCGATGCGAGCAACATGTCATCGACGTAAACAAGGAGCCAGATGGTCTTGTCATCTTTTCGTAAAACATACAGACTATAGTCTGCTTCGCTACGAACAAAATTAAAACCTTCTTTTCGCAGGAAATCATCGAGTGTCTTGTTCCATTGACGACCGGCTTGCTTGAGTCCGTAGATGGCCTTGAGGAGTTTCCAGACCCAATCTGGATGCTCAGGGTCTTCGAAGCCTGGAGGTTGACGCATGTAGATTTCTTCGTCAAGCTCGCCATTGAGAAAGGCGGTCTTCACGTCCATTTGATCAAGTTCAAGATCAAACTTAGCGACCATGGAGAGTAGTGCACGTACGGTGTCGTATTTTGCAACAGGAGCAAAGGTGTCGGTGTAATCTAGTCCTTCGATCTGTGTGAAACCCTGCGCAACAAGGCGGGCCTTGTGGCGGGCAATCTGGCCATTTTCGTCATACTTGTGCGAGTACACCCACCGTGAGCCGACTGCTTTTCTCCCTGATGGGAGTGGTGTTAAGACACCCACTCCTTTTTCTCCCAACGAAGCTAACTCTTCATTCATTGCGCTTTCCCAATGACCCGAATCCATTGACAAGCGAGCGGCAGCTATCGTTTTGGGGGGAAGCTTCCGTCCATCAATCTTGTTGCTGTCCGCCAAGGATACATGCTTCGCGGAGTGCTCAATGGTGACATCGGGGGTAGCACTAATACTAAGATTTTCTTCTTCAACAACCTCCTCCTCAACAGTGACCGGTACATAAGTCCAACGCCGCTGTACTGGGACATGTTTTGTTGGGATGGCAACAGTTTTCGGGACTGCTGGTCGCGCGTCAATGCGTTGACGTGTCGAACGTCGTGGCTCAGGAGATGGTACCGTTTCTACCGGAACTTCAGCAGGGACAGGGAGAACATTGTCGTTCGACTGCGGGAATGGCTGTGGAGGTTCGGGGATGAGAGGAGCAGAAGTCGGAAGTACTCCCACTGAAACGGTACTGGGTCCTGGTAGTGTAATACCGGAATCATCTTCTCCAGGTCGTGTGGTTCTGAAGCCGTCTTCTGATATCGGCAAATCATGTGGCAATGCGAGGGTGGGCTGCTGCATTGCAATGCGCTGGTTGTGTAATTCAACGAGGGGCGAGAGAACTGAGTTGGGTGTGCCGTAGAAGAATTTTTCATCAAAAAGGACATTTCAAGAGCGCACCGTCTGTCGTGTCGCTGGATCCCATAGAAGATATCCCGCATCTTTGACGTGCCCCAGTAGGAAGCACCGTCTCGAAACAAAGTCGTACTTGTGGCGATTGTCGTCTGGGATGTGAGCATATGCGAGGCAGCCAAACGGACGTAGGTGCGAGACATTTGGTAGTTCACCATAGAAGAGTTCAAAACGGCGTTCTGTTGTCAGTAGCTGACGACGGGAGGAAGTTCTTGATGTATACTGAGTTGAGGATGGCGTGGCCCCAGAACGAACGAGGAAAACCACTCTGGTGATGGGCACTTAATGCTCGGGTGGCAATGGTCTGGTGTCCACGTTCGGCAACACCATTCTGTTCGGCTGTATGAGGCATCGTAAGTTCGTGCTCAATTCCTTTACTACGCAGGAATTCAATAGTAGCGTGAGAGACGTATTCGCCACCGTTGTCACTGCGGAGGCGTTTAACTCGTTGCCCTGACTGGTTTTCAATCCAGGCGATATATCGCAGAAGGTGCGAGTGTACCTCACTCTTGTGCTTAATGAGGTAGATAGTGGAATAACGCGAAAAATCATCAGTGAAGGCAACAAAGTATGTTTCACCGGACGGGGTTGCAGTGTTGACGGGTCCCCAAACGTCAGTGTGAACAAGTTCAGCGACGTGCGTTGCACGGTGTCGAGCATGAGATGGGAACGGCAATCGTTTTTGTTTGCCCATTAGGCACGACGGACAGTCAATGTGGTCACCAGGTCCTGTAGACTCGTCTAACAGGTTAAGTGACAGTCCTAATACAACCTTCTCAGCTTTGCGCAAGGTGGAGTTTGCGGCATGGCCCATGCGTGCATGCCATACAGCTAGTGGTAATGGCGTAGCCGAGGTGGACCTGGTGGCAAAGGCCGTATGGGTGTGCTTGGCTCGAAGGTAGTATAGACCGGCAGAGCATTCCACACGTGCGATCACAGTCTTATCAGCACGACGCATTTGTCCTCCTTCAGCATCCGTTTCGAAGAAAATTCCCTCCGACGCTAGAGCAGACACTGATATCAGTGTGCACCGTAGGTCTGGTACGTGGAGGAAAGGGAGTTCGATAGACTCATGTCTTCCGTCGAGCACTAGCGTGATGAATCCCCAACCTGGGGCAAGAACAGTATCGTCATTCGCAAGTTTCACGATTAATGGAGGGTTGTAAGTTCTGTAGCGAGTGAAGAGGGAGTGATTGGATTCCATATGTGCGGTGGCGGCAGAGTCTACGTGGAATTGAAAAGAAATAGTGCTCGTATTAGAGAAACTAGCAGAGTGTGTAGGAAGACGAAGAAACGATGGAATGCCGTCAGGTTGTCCTGGTAGGGGAACTGATATGTCAGTACCTTGTGAAGGTGAGGGGGGAATGCACGCTGACGTGTTTGATGAGTCGGATTTTGCTAGACGAGCACGGCAGTTGTTCCAGATATGGCCTGTGCGCTTGCAAGATCCGCACGTCGAGCGCCACGACAACTCCCATTTATCTCCCTTGGAGGCGTCAAAATCCTTCGGTTTGGCACGCTCAGTAGGTTTACCTGCTTTCGCCACCCTAGCAGCCATGGCTGTGTGGTGCGCATGTGGGTTTGCAGAGCCGAAACTTGCATAATATTGTTCCGAGTTCCTGATCTGGCTGATGACTCCTTCCAGCGTTAGCTTCCCGGTATTGGCGTCAGCACTATGGAGTATGAGCTGGGAAAGCGGCGCATAGAAGTCGGGAAGGGCACGCAGTAGCGCTTGGACAAGGGTATATTCGTTGCACTTCCATTCGATGGATTCAATGACCTTGAATTGGGCCTTGATGTCCGTGATCTCCTTAATGGTCTTGGTAAGAGAGTCGCTATCAGATGCTTTGGGAAGGTCAAAGATACGGCCCATGAGGCTCGTAAAGCGGATGCCAACAGACGCCTGATACTTGTCTTCTAGCGCTTTCCAGATGACGGCTGGATCAGTGACACCCATGAAGTGGATGAGGTCACTTGAGTGTACCGTCATACCAAGGAGTCCTTTGGTTATGCTTTGGCGTTCTCGGAAAGAAATGACGTCCGCGCTCGCATCATGTGCCGCGAGGCGTTTGTTGAAGTCAGCCTCAGTCTCAGTGGTGCTTCTGGTTGGGCGCGGAGGACCCTTCTCATCTCCTGAAAGGAGGCGCCAAAGGTTGAAGAGCGAGAGCCAAAGGTCCATGGTCGTTACCCACGAGGTGTAGTTGGAGCCATTGGCGTCCAGAGGAGGGTGAGGAAAAGATGTTGGAATCCGGATGTTGGACGACGATATGGTGGACATGACAGGTGTCGAACGATGTGTCGGCGATGGCGACAATAGAATGGGAAGATTCAATGGGTGTGGTAACGAGCGAGTTGGTACGACAGGCGTTAATGGCGGCGATGGCGGCAAGGGAATGGATAAGATCCGCAGGTCAAGCGGGGATAGAGGGCGACCTTGTTCCAGTTCGGAAAAGGTCGGAGAGGCTCAGATAAGGCGAGTGGAAGCGAGAAACGAATGTATGCCTAGTCTGAGCCAGGGCTCATAACCTATCAAAGGTGAAGAGACTCGGACTAGAGAAACTAAGGGCGAGAACAGAACTCAGTCTTGGTTCAAAAAGACTCAAGGGTAACTATGGACCATACCTAAGGGCGAGAACAGAACTAGTAGAGTAGTAGTTAGTAAGAGTAGAGTAGGGATGTCAATAAGATAGCTCACCTCAGTCTTGGTTCAAAAAGACTGAGGGAGATTGTTCGACGAGAGGAGGAATTAATACGTTTGATTGGGACGGAGAGTCAATAGGAAACGTGTATGACGCATGGTAGGAGGAGTGTTCGTGTATGTAAAATGAAAAGGCTAAGTACGTGTAAGGGTCATATCTTGATATCTTTCACTAGCAACGGTCCATGAGCACCTGTATGTGGTACGCGAGCCATTTATATGTTTGTATGATGTGTGGGGGATCGGCAAAATTGATTCAGGGGCGTGGTACCTTAAGATCGCCCGAAGTAGTTGAGTTTGGTCGTAATCAGATCTTATAACACTGTGGCAAATAAAGATAAACAATTCAACATTTGCCTAATTAGGCTGTATGAATCTCCGATTCAAATTAGTTGGATGACATCGACCTTTGACCCATCATCTCAATATTGCTAGCCCCTCCTCGTCATCGTTCTATTTGGTGCAATCATCTTAAGCCTGGTATGTTGTGACTATCCAGGAGAAGGTGGTATTTTGGGATACTGCTGTCTTATTTGGTGTGTTACTCTTTTTCCCTTATTTCTTTTTCTTCTGGACTCTAAATATCTCCTCTTCGCCTGACTGCGCCATCAAGAACCTCCCAGTGCCCTTACAGCCTCCCCGGAACTCTCTTTTCACCTAATCGCACCCTCCAGCGCCCACTTTATTCTGCTTTCGTTCATGCCAACTATCCTATATCCAACCTCCCGCTATCTTTTGAATGCTTTATGATAACAGTATTCAAAGTAGATACCTGTGAGGCTCAGCGCCTCTGTCTCTTGTGCCTCTCCCACATGCCGCGACCGCCCTGTACACCTGCGCATGCAGTGTGCCACAGCTCTCCTCAGCCCACTGCACCCTCCCCCTGTTACCAAATTACGCACTCTCTAGTAAGCTCGACCTCTTGTCTCGAATCCTTATTTCGTTAAAGACGTCAAAACAGGCCAAATAGATTTCATGTGGTTATTTTTTTGTTCTCTATTCACATATAGCTATATCTTTGTTGTCGGTCTTCACTGGGATTCATACCTTGAATGTAGATAATATCTGGTGTACTACTGTATATCTGCTATCCAATAACATGACATGGCTATGCGCTGATAGATGCTATCAAACAAAGTGGTGCTTCAGTCCATCAAGCCCCAATCACTATGCTATGATCAGGTGTAATTGTCAGAGTTCATCTCAGCGGTACACTGAATAGCACCTTGTTGAATACATTGATGACGATCATACATTGCTCAGCGTGCGAGTAGTTAGTACATATCCTACATCTTGTGTGACATGAATGGGAGTATCATACACCTATGCGACCCGATACAGCAATGTTCCCGAAGTTAGAGGAAGCATCTATCGTCAGCTATCTCCATCGTCCTCGTGTAATGGATGGATGTGAACTCTGCATAGGGAAGATCAGGTAAATTGACCTCCACCTGCTTGATGGGACTACAATCTGCTACAGTCCTTGCTCATTTCTCATATGCAGACACTTTAGGGGCCTGTATCTTGGGGTCCATGGGCAATACATTCGGAGCCCTGAATGTCGATGTGCATCAAAACCAATGCAGAGATCATGAAAAGAACATTGACCTTAGGAACGTCAACCCAATCATTGTCTTCATAAATGTGGGATACTGCTTCAGGTTCGCGTACATATGTGTGATGGCAGCTAGAATGATACAATACACGGCACCCGGTTTGCGGCCACGGGTCTTCAGGGGTTGCCCAAGATGAAACGTGTGGTAAATCTGATACAGTGATGACTTTATTGCTACAAGCAACGACTAAGAAACACTTACTATGGTAAGCAAAGTCACAGCAAAATCTTTTGCTAATGCCGAGTTCTCCCCTCAAACTTCTTGAGGAAAAAGGTCAGCAACCCTGCCATCGCGGGTACCCTCAGCCAAGCCGATCACGGTTTGGAATGTTGACATCCACATGAGTTCCCCGAACATATACAGTTCCACAAGTTCAGCAATAGCTCGTTCGATCTAGGTCACCATAAGTCATGATGATATCACATCGGCCTTGCCACTTACGTCCTGTTGGTCACTCGAGTTAAAAGAATCAAATAATGCTTTGACCCTCGCCTCCTGTTCTTGAACTGTACCACCACCAGAGAAGTTGTCGAGTCTGGTGCATCCCTGGACTACCTTATGCATATCTGACAGTCTATTCTTGATGGTACCAGAAAACTGCCCAGAATGTTTATCAGTGAATGAGAATAAGACGAGAGGAAAGCGTACAAGCAAATGAATGATGTCCCATCTGATGGACGTTCCACTGGGAAAATGTGCAACTGCACGCTGTAAGATTGCTGACCATGCTATGAAAAATGTCTCATGGAATCGAGGAAAGGTGCTCACCCGGTTCATTGACCAATTCTTGCAACATTGTTTGATCATGAGCTATTGCGCTCAAGAAGCTATTGGTGAGTATGACACGTTGTTCCTGCTTTGTGGTGGTGAACAGGTTCCCCAAGCCAAGCCAGAAAGTACCATAGAGAAAATACTTCATTAAGTAAATTGGGCATCTCCAACAAGTGCTGTTCATTGCGGCTTTGATTGCCGACCTGTCGTCATTATTAATTGCAATGTCGACGCCTGTCCATCTCAAAGTGTCATGAAACACCCTTGTGATTGTAGGAGTGAGCTGCCCAAATAATCCGCCATCCATTTCTGTGTCTTGTGGAGGGATGACCGAATCTTCAGCGTAACCAAGCGAAGCTATGGTATAATCTTCCTGCTCATATCCATAATCAAAGTCACAAGGCCAAGCTGGCCCACCAACTGATAGGAGGGCAGGAGGCACAAACACAGAAGTCAGTTGGTTGTTTGGTTGAAAGTGGGTGGGAAGAGATGACACATTGGTCACTATGGGAGGCGGGAAGCCATATGGGAATGGCGCCGGGTTGAATTGGATGATGTCATTTAACTTGCTGAGCTATAGAAATGAAAATCAGTCTATGGAACACTGCACACTAGCATGAATGAAGGTAAAACTCACTTGCCACACTGGAGTAATCATCCCTGCCCCATTTGGCCGGCAAAAATGGGCGTCAATAGCCCGAAGGAAATCACCATCACCAAACTATGTTCATCCTGTCAGGGTGTTATTTCCAGTTTGATGTAGCTCTCACCTGCTTTTTGTATATTGTATGAAACAGTGTTTCATCGACGTGAGGAATTGCGAGTGCGCCGACTACGGGTAGAACACCATCTAAACTGTTGACCGACACATAATCTGGACACTACAGAATGATAAGATGAAGTTACTGATTTTGAGGATGGCTCACATATATCGGAGAGACCTGGCGGTAGTTGTGCGCCAGATAAGCACTGAGGACAAAACATTCTGGGCCGTTGAAATCGACGAAAGGGTGCTGAAATGACAAGTTAGATATAAACAACAGGGTGAATAGACGAGGTGAACTTGGGCATTCTGGAAAAAAGGCATCAGTGGATATCACACGCATAATAAGAAGTCGGCATACAGGTGGTGGTATAACCTGTAGTACACAGCCCAACTGAGGTGTGTACAGATAAACTGGAGCCGTGGGCTGTACTATTCCCCTCGAGTTACATCAGTGAGATGGAGTCAACTCACGATGTATATCCATGGAAAAGGTGGTGTACTTTGAGGGACTGACAAGCAAATTCCTCAGTTTTAAATAGGCAGCTGCATAGTAGAGATGGTAGCCAACTGCTTGATGATTGAGATGGGCAAATCACGATAGCTAGACAGAATGGAGTAAGGTTGCGCTAGAGATCAAAATGACTGAATTGAACAAAGTGAAGGTCGCATTATGGGCCAGATCGGTATCAAGGTTGCACCAGGAATCGGAAATGATTGAATTATGCGCTTAACAAAATTAAATTCGGTAGCTTTGTCATTATCGTCAGTTTGATCGTCACGATGTTTGAGCATCATAATATTGCAATGAGGCGTCCTTGGATTGATAACGTCTTGTGCCCTCCTAACATTGTAAGTAGTAAAGTTGAATTTGGCGATGTTGTGATGATAGATTCTGTTACATTTGAAGAGAATCGTGTCGTGTTCTTGGTTGAGAGAAGCTGACTTGTCCCCCGGATTGAGATGATCCATAATATGGACTTTTAATTGGAAAAAGAAGTCCTGGGGCACAGCTTAGAATAATGTCTATGAAGTGAGAAGTCACTTACCTTCATAGCAGGGTCATGCACGTGGCTACGGAGGTAGTGACCAATATCATCATAATTCTTCTCACTTTGGCCAATATAATGATGTACTTCAGGGTCGTTCGTCATTTCATTCACTTCTGTACGAAAGTCTTTTCCTTGTTGCCGTTGCTTGATGTGGCGCAAACGTGTCTGATGATGCTCGATCTGAGTTAGCTGGTGAACGAAGGCCTTTCGATCAGTATGACGATATCTGTCTTTTGACGTATGATGCTCTAGTTCTCCCTAATGAGAAATTAATTTAGGGTAAGGAAGAGCAGCGAGCCATGACATACTGGTTTGGTGCTGTACGAATCCATTGTTCCAAAATGATGGATGGAGGCCACGTAATCTCCTAGCGCGTGAAACTTGTAAGTTTGAAAATTAAACAACTTTTTCCTTTGCAGCTGCTTTGGCACAGGTATGTCCCGGGACTGCTCCAGACTCGCTTTTCCTTTTCCTTTACCGATGGCACCTGGCTCAGATTGTGGAGCCGCAGTCACTTGCCCGACATTATTCACCTTGCCTGTCTCTACCCGTTTGGCCGCATCCTTGGCCTGTCGACGAGATTGTGCGTCGACTTCACAATCGAGTTCTTGGGTATGATATGCAGAGCAAACTTTCGCTTTAAACTCACGAAATTGTTCGCCAAGATCCGTTGTCTGTTGGTCGAGAATCTCTAGGGTGAGGTCAGAGTGCATGTGAAGTTTCGCCAATCCATGCCAGTGGGCCATGATGAAAAGAAGATCCATAAGAATTTTGTTGTGCTGTTCTGGAAGCAGACCATCGAAAACAGGGATTGAACACTTGAAACAAAATTAGTTGGCGAAGATATGGGAGTTTCCTGAATACATACTTGTAGAAGGTCCTCGAAGTTACGAGCAGCCAAGTTAGACATATCGGAAGTGTTTGCAGAGAATCTCCTGATGGTCGCTGAACCAAATGGGGGGACCTGCCTGTACCTATCAACGTTAATTGATTGTTAGCTTATTAAGTGATACTCAAAAATAAAATTTTGGCGCACCTCTTATCAAGCTCATGGATCAGGTCCTTGTTGAATGCACAAAGAATTCTTAACAGGTGTATCAAAAGTATACGCCATACTCCAAGTTCAAACTCATGTAGCAAATCCACCACGAGCGCGACAAACACATTGAATCCAAAAGAACCGAGGCAATCCAAAAAAGTGTTCTAATGAAGTGTTAGTAAAAGCAAGCAAAAGTTGATGGTCATGCTCACAGAGGTTGGTACCCATGATTCAGGCTTCAAAAGCGACTCGACAGCTGTGCTGTCTACACCATAGTTCTTTTCGTAGATGAAGCTGCGTGCCGTTTTAACCAGCTGGCTCCTCGAGTGATCAGAATGTGCGAGAGTTGTATGCTGCTGCCTATTGCGAAACATTCCTAAATTGTGAAGTCGTCCCATTGGTATGACACATCGTGGGCAAGGACAACCTCCCAGCTGCTGGATAGTTGCGACAAGTACCCTGATTTTCATGAGTTGCAAAATCGAACAAATAATATCAATTACTCACTTCTCAGGGTAATCCGCAGAATAAGTGAATATTCGTGGGTAAAACCTATGTTTGATCCTGTCACAACAGAGAATCACAATGCCGTGTTCATATGCCTGTAAAAACTCGGGATCGAGTAAAACCTTCCATTGAGCTTGGAATAATTCCCGGTGGCAATGTGTTGTACATTCCCGGCCAACTCCTTTGCCGCGGGTGTAAGTACCTGCGAAATCTTTGAACGATTCCGGAAGCTGCCAGACGTCAGTTTCATTACAGGACAAGGAAGTAATTTGGGACCTTAATCCTTTTGAAAGTACGCCACATGATTACCTAGATTGCACGATGGTTTACACCAGCGATACTTCGATTCA